GGCACTGTAGGTCTCTGTGAGCAATGACCTTTGAGAAGTGTAATGAGAGAGGTTTACAGCTCACACAGCCATCCACAATGAGACGGGCAAGCTGTTCTTGCTGCCAGCCGGTCCCTTCCCCCTGGCTCGCATCCAGGGCTTTAGGCACACCACGGATGACAGGTCAGGTCTCGGTCATGCTCACGTTATGGCCATGCTGGAGCTGGCTTCCTGACCTGTTATCTCTGTGCAGCAAGTGGCACAATGTTCCCTGCTTCCTTCAGCAACAGGAGCCAGATCTCTACCAGCATCTGGCAAGGGGTTTGCCCAAAGGCACCTTTGGAAATGTTTACCCCCTCCTCTAGCTGCCACAAAGGATGGTCTCTGTATTGGAGGGCTCACTGGAGTGTCTGCTCCCCATCAGAGTACAGATACCCCAGAGCAAGGTAAACTGGCTGCGCGACGTGGATGGCACGGGACAGGGCCAGGTATCCTTGGAAGATGCAGGCATGGCTGGAGCCACTTACATTGATTAACTGAGGATGAGCAAGGCCAGCAGAATCATGGAATAGTTTGGGTTGGAAGGGACCTTTAAAGGCGATCTGGTCCAACTGCCCTTGCAATGAACAGGAACATCCTAACTAGACCAGGTTGCTCAGAGCCCCATCCAACCGGAGCTCGAATGCTTCCAGGGATGGGGCATCTACCACCCCTCTGGGCAACGTGTTCCAGTGTCTCACTACCCTCACAGTAAAGAATTTCTGCCTTATATCCAGTCTAAATCTACCCCAGTTTAGTTTAAAACCATTACCCCTTGTCCTGTCGTAGCAGGCCCTGCTAAAATGTCTGTCCCCATCTTTCCTATAGGAGTCAGCTTGTCCTCATAGGAGAGATGCTCCAGCCCTCGGATCGTTTTTGTGGCCCTCCTCTGGACCCACTCCAACCTGCTTTCCTCTGTGGTTCAGGAGATTGGTTTCTTTCTGGCTGGCCCTGCTCTGCAACTCAAGGCTTCAAACAGAACAGGTCCACAAACAGGAGCTGCCTGCCCGTTCCCCAGCAAGGAGTGAAAGAGGGGAGATGGACAAAACACCCCTGGCCACCCACCCTGAGGCTGCTGCCTGAGGAGAATGGTCCTGGACACCGGATTGTCAATGCAGGAGCCCAGCGGTGCCGAGCCCACAGCGCAGCTGGGACAGGGCTGCATCGCAGGCTGCACGTCGGCCCCGGCTGCTCCTCCACCCTGTGCTGCCTTGCAGTGATGCTGCCCGCAGCGAGTTGCCATAGCAATCCCCCAAGCATGCCCCCCTGCCTCCCTCCTTTGTCTCTGCTCCCCCAAGCCTTGCCGTCCCCTCCCCACTACCCCACACATAAAACCCACCGCACAACACCCAAAAGCCTCAACACTCTTAAAGGGCTGTTCATCACCCTGAGGAAGGAAAGGGGGCAGAGGTGGAAGCCCACCCCACAAGCCATCATCCCCACCCGCTTCACAGGCAAGGTGCCTACGCCGGAGCCGGGTGCATCACACCCCACCGTGCTCGGTCCCAAGGCGCAACACCGGGGAGCCGGGCAGCCACACCTGGGGTGGAGAGGCCTCTCCGGCTGCAGCCCATCCATGTTGTGCTGTGACAGGCAGGGATGCTTCAACATTACCGCCTGTCCCACGCTGCCTGCTCTGTGGTGGTGACACGCAGCCCCTGCTCAGCCCAACACAGCTGCTGGCAGGTGAGAAACCCCCATGAGCTCTTTCTACCTTGTGGCAGCACTGGATTTGATGGAAACAGGGGTCCCAGATTCATTTTGCTGCAGCCTGGCAGGTATCTCTTAAGTATCTGCTCTCCAGTCCCAGGCCATTTCCAGTTCTGTTTTGCTGCACCGAATCTCACTGTGGCTTGAACCAGAGACAGGATCCTGCTTCACTTCCTGTCCTAAAAAACTGTTGTCCCCGTTGCTATGTGCTACTAAACAGTTACCCAACCCAGCCTGTAAGCAGGGCTCTTCTCCCTTTCACCTCTCCTACACGGGTGCAAGATGCAATGAAAAAAACCTACTGAACCACACTCAGGTGTGATACCTGCCAATATCTTTCCATTAATTTGATGACTTAACAGAAGGGATTAAAAAAAACAAAACCAAAACAAAACAAACCTTCTAAAAGCTCTGCTTCCCTCCCCATTCTGCCCTTCCCCAGATATAGTAGGGCCCACCACAACCGGTTACATCACTTGAGGCTTATAGCAGAAGCTAGCAAAGCCTCGGTCCTGATCCAGGATGAGTCACGGAGCTCAGGAGACGGCGCAACTTCCTTCTGATACCATCAATCATGTCTTACATGGCCTAAAAATAAAGATGGGCCAGAACTGCGGAGCCATGTCTTGCCTCAACATGAAACTTAGCAAAGCTCAGCACTAAACTCAGCGCTGATGAAAAATCACCTGAGCAGATGGAAACCAAAAAGTGCAGAGAGGCCAAAAGTCTTGGGTGTACAAAGAAGGGAGAGGCCAGGAAGCCTCACCCTGTGCTGGGCTGGAGGATGGCAGTGGCAAATGCCGAGCACTCACCCAGCTGTACAAAGAAGGCCAGAGCTGGGCTCTCATCTCACTCAGCTGTGGGCTTTGGAGTATTCCCACACCCAGAGGCTTTGTGGAAGACTCTTTTCTGCACCACGTGCGTCCACCTGAAACAACAGGAACCAACTACTGCAAACAGGAGGGATGCTGCATTTTTCAGAGGAAAGCTGCAGCCCGCTTCCTACCAGGCAATGCATGGGCACCCACAAAGCCGAAGTCCAAAGGGTGCTTGGCGCTAGGGCTAAAAAAAAGGGCCACACATACATCTGATATGGCTTAGACACTTTAGGTAAGTGAGGAATTCAAAGTTCTTCCTAATCCCTGGGACGCTATGCCCCAGTAAAACCTTCGCACACAGGGATACAGGACTCTCACATAGCTCCTAGCAGGGAGCTGCAGGATCACACACAAATAGGAGCTCAGAGGGACATCAGCAATGTTCAGAGACCTAAAATTAGCCTCGGCAGATGATCCTCTGCTCCATTCTTGGATGCAGTGAGAACCGAACAAGGATCCAGCTGTCCCAACACTCCCATGAACAGGATCTTTGAATGCCCGACCTACTTGCAACAGAGATGGTAGGGCAAAGAGGGGATTCCTCACATAACTCCAATGCCAATACTCACAAGGATCCCCGGGCCCCATCTTTGAAGGGGAGGGCAGCATTTTCTTGGTGTTTCCAGTGGAAAGAAGACCTACTTCTAGATCAGCAGGTCAGACCAAGGGGCAATGGCAGCCCACACACGCTAAGAGCAGGCTGAAGGACCGCTTTCTCTTGAAGGTATGATCTCCGCCTTGCCCAGTCTTTGAGTTTGCTGGCAAAGCATTCCATCCCATTCCTGAAAGAGGCACTACAAGTCTGTCCAAGGGTCTGCAGGTTGTACCGGCCTTCCAGATTACTGCCAGCTGCACTAAACTGAACTAACATGGTTAATTCAGCCCAAATGTAAATTCACTGATATCACCTGGGGTATCTCCAAACCAGAGAGAAGAGGTTCATGCTATGACCAAGTAATGGAAGAAGCTGCTGCATTACACACATATGGGAGATTTGCTGTCCCTGGAGGTATCAAGCTATTTGGCCAGCAATGAGTGTGTGTGTGTGTGTGTGAGAAAAGTGGATCTGACATGGTGAACCTTGTGTTAAAATGCCTCTTGTCAAAAGGCAGGGGAACCCTGAGAGGATGCTGTGAGCTTGAATCTGCAAGCAGCTCCAGCAGAATCAAGGGCAAACCTTTTCTCTGGTCTTAGCCACATAACATGTCTCTTTTTCATTACTAAGAGAGATATAAGATCCCAGCATGGAGCAGACATTAGTGATTACCACAACTCAGCTGGATAAAGGGGCTGCTCTGCTGCCTCTGTGTTGTGTGGTTGGGAGTGTGCAGCACACAGCACTGACAAGAGCAAAGGACTTCTTCCTTCCTTCCTTCCAACTTCCCAGGTAAATCTACCCCCACCTCGCACGCTGTGGGTACCACTTCAGCATCAGGCTGAAGGATGAGATGGCCTCAGGCCCGATCTCCAGCTGTCTTTGGACTGGCCTCAAACTTCCCTGGCAGACACTTCAGAGGAAGAGCCACACAGCCTTGGCAGCCACATGTCTTAAACATAGGCTTCTCCATATAACCTCTCCTGGCCAAATCGTACCTGAGCTCTGGGGTGAGAGAAGGGCTTGGCCTGCCCGCCCAGAGGCACAGTGCTGATGAGGGCTTCCTTCCTGGTGGGAGCACACCGTGCAGGTGGGGTGGGCACTGCTGGATCCCAGGCAGGCACACAAGCATCCAGGCACAGCGAGGGGGCAGGAAGCCCACAGCCATCTCAGCCTGCTACAGGCCGGTTACCTCAGAGCAGCAAGGGCCTGACCTTCACGTTTCCTGACAGTGGCAATACAAAGACTACCAGTCCTCCTGAAACACTTTACTGTCACACTAAACCTCACAGACCGCGGCCAAGGGCCTCCTCGAGCTACAAAATCCTGGGAAAATACAGGCATAGCTCAACTGTTTCTGATAGAAAGCAGGATCACGTCTGCCACAAGCTCTGGGTGAAGTCTCAGCTCTGTTTGTTCAGGTGAAGGACAACAAGCAGCAGAGACCAGCAGCTGGGAAACACTCCCATTCAATACTGCTGCTACTCAGAAGTACAAGTGCAGCAAGCAGCACAGGCTGCAAGTTCCCAAGGGCTTAAAACACACTGCCCTTGAGCTCCTGACAACTGTGTGCAGGGTTCAATGGCCTAAACAGCACCGGTCACAGACATCCAGGCTGCCTCCACCACACTGCCAGCCAGGTGGGAGGCAGGAGCACCCAGCAAGCACCTCAGCAGGGTGACACCTACTCTACAGAGCTGTCCCTATGGGCCAAGGGGAGGAGAGCACAGGGTTCCCCTGCTTCTTCACACAGCCCTGGTGAAGGAAGAGAAACTGGTGATGACTGAATGGGTGCTGACCTTGGTGGAGGGCTGAAGCAGATGGGAAAGGCAGCTCTCAGCTGTCACCACCCGCAGCGTAGTCTTGGGGTTGCTTGTTCCGGCTTTCTTGGGTCATCTGGAAAGACAAAATGCACAGATGCATGTTCAGCTCAGCTGGGAAACACCCATGGAAGAAGACCTTCTGCTCACTGGGCAGGCAGTGATTGCTCATCCAAGGCAAATTAGTGGCCTATGCACAGAAGTGAGAGGCCCCAAGCACCCCAGGACCTTGAAGATCCGGCTGTATCTTTTACCAGTGCTGAGGCCACCCCTGAGCTGCAGCCCTGCCTCCCTCCCGGGGTTCCAGTTATCACCCCAGTTCCCTGTGTGACTCTGGGTGGGTGCACGGTTGGTTCCCCAGAGAGGGCTGCTAAGGCCGCCACTGCTGCTGTCCCCCTTCCCTGGATTTCAGTGGGAAGTTGCTCCATCACACACGCTTTGCTGGTACTCCAGTGGGTGCACTGGCATACGGTTTATCTGCAAGAACAGGCTCTGGCTGCAGCCCCCACAGGCCAGCCACTAAACCACCCCACGGGGACGCCAAGCCAGGGCAGGGAGGGCCAAACTCTGCTGTGGGGAGACACTGCTCCCAACAACCAAACAGACCAAGCCAAATCCAACACTGCAGCATTTCCCAGGCTACAACGAAGGGGGAAAACTACAACTGCTTAATAGAAATCTCCGAGACGCCTGCCAACACCATCACAAAGACATTTAAGACTCCTCCCCGGGCTCCCAGTGCAGTAATTACAGGCTACTGGAGATCACACTGTGTGGGGGCTAGGTACTCGTGCCCAGCAGGTCCTGAAAACTGGGACATTGTCAGCCTCCCCAAAACTAGGTCTGACATTGCCCTGGCTGCAGAGAAGATGAGCAAAAGCTGTGCAGGGGCAGTCCCTGCTCCCCAGCCCGCCCTCCCGCGTGGGCTATCACCCTGCAGTACCACCAGCAGCACAACTTGGCTCCGACCAGAGCCACGGCAGCAGGGAGGAGCGCACTGCGGACACCAGATTTCTGCTGCACCGGTCCTTTGAACAGTCATGAAGGCACCCAGAAAGTTTGTACTTAACGTCACTTGCACCTACACAGCTAGCAGGTCACCACCAGATTTCTGCTGCACCGGTCCTTCGAACAGTCATGAAGGCACCCAGAAAGTTTGTACGTAACGTCACTTGCACCTACACAGCTAGCAGGTCAACCTGCACCAGCATCCCAGGAGAGGTCCCACCTGGAAGCTGTACCAGCTAGTCAGCAGGGCTGTGGTTTTGGGGAGCTTACAAGCAGAACAATCCCCAGTAAGTGTACTGTGTGTATATGTAAATATACCTATATTTAAAACCCTCCACCATTTCCCTGCTGTACCACACTATTTTTCAGAGAAGGCTCAAAGGCTCCAAGCCTGAGTGGTGACAGGAATGCTTTGGACATGGCTGCAGTCCTGCCACCCACATAGCACTGCAGCACAGGAAGAGATGGCGATGTATCCGACAGGGACGGGTTGGAAACAGTCCCCAGGAAGACTGCAGTTACCCCAAATGGACTGAGGCCAGGAGATCTGGATTATCACCTCAGCTCTCACATAAAGGGCTTTGCATCGTTTTTCACTTCCAACAAGAAGAATGACAGGGTTGACATCAGCCCTGGCCCAGGACATGGATTCGTTACTAAAAAGCACTTCCCGCTGAATCACTAAATGCACTTTTCGCAGTACACAGGACTCCTTTGAAGGCTTCCCATCCAAGTATTGTTCTACCATCATGCTGCTGAGCTGGGGGGTTGTCCAGGCCACAACACAGGCGAGTATGACTGCAAACCACCAGCCAGTCCTGAAAAAGCTCACTGAAACACAGGGCATGTGAGCTCAGCTGCTCTTCATTCAGGATTCACAACCAGCTGAGGACTCTGACAGAAACAGGGGGAAAACATGTTAATTGGCAGCTGGGCATTCATGAGGCCAAGCAAGCGAGTCTAAGAAAGAGAGGGGGAAAGGGAGGATGAGGATTTGCAAGGACACTTGCCAGTCAAAGGAAATAATTTTTAAAGCAAACCTCAAACTTTGTGAAATCAAGTTCTCTAGAGATTACATTTACCTGGCTCACTTGCTCATGAGCAAAAGCAAAATGGAAAAACAAAGGAAAAGAGCTGGTCGGAAAACAAGCTCCAGGAAGCAGAGCTGCCAGGCACTGCACACAGAAGGAAGGTCCAGAAACATGCAATGGCGTTACCAGGATGCAGGGACCCACGCTGGAGAAAGGCTGTCCCAGGGGGAGATGTGCCATGGAGAGGCACCAGGCAAAAACCCTCCCACAGAATATTCTCACTGCCAAGTAACCCACAGCGACACTCTCCATGAGCCATCTCTTAGCATACAAATGTCTCCCTTTGGGATTTCTCCAGTGCTGCCCTTCACACGTCCTGCTTCAAACCTGACTTCTTAATTCCTCCAGCCATGGAAGCCCCCAATAATTTGCTTACAGCTACACTGGTAGTGTGTCTAGGACACCACTTTTCTAACCAATACGGCTTTACTCTTTTCCTTCGCATCTGTGGCCACATACCTACAAATGACATGTTTTCTTGTTCTGCACCCAGGAGATGTCCTGGCCCCCAGGCACTGTGCATTTCCACAGAGCACATGATAGTGCCTACCAAAATTGCAGGGGACAAGCGTGGGCAGGTCCAGAGCAGCAAGGGCAGCTAAAGGACTCGGGAAGAGTCAAGAGTCATTGACTTTCAAGAGTCAGATCAATAACTATCCCCTTGAACCACTCAGAAGGAACAAGGAAGGTCCAGGCATCTCTGGCCTCTGCTACTCAGTGGGGCCATGCAGAAGCGTGCCAGGGCAAGCAGCTGGTAGCAGACAGCAAGGAGGAAGACCAGCGGCGCAGATGCGCTGCTCTGCCCTCAGAGGTCCCTTGAACTCAGGGAGGGAACTTCCTTTCCTGCTCCGCATGCTCAGAAGGCCTGAAACTGCTGAGGGAACAGGGGCTGGGAAAGCAGAGGGAAGGTGTATGGACTGGGTGCTTCATCTGCTTCGGAGGAGACCGCCAGGAGTGAAACAGCAACCCTAGCAGTAAAATTAAAATTATATGTTATTCACTAAACTCCATTTCTACAGGGAGGGCAGATGTGACGAACAGAGCATCGAGAGCTCCTCTGCCCATTTTGCTGCAAAGGTGGCGGAGCGGGGGATATCCTCAGTGAGCTGTGACTCGAACAGCAGGGTCCCCAAAGTCAGCGCAGGGTGACCCCACCAGCTTTCCTTCTGGCAGTGGGCAAGAAACCTCTCACACAGGGCAGGAACAGAAATGAAGTGAGTGGCAGAGTGGAACCGGCCCCAGCCCTGCCCCACTTGCAGGATGGACCTCGGTCTAAAAGCCCAGCTCCCCAAGGACCACAGCTCTATGGCCAGGGTGACAGGGGACCCTCCTGTCCCCAC